TTGTTTTTAGGGAAAAGCTTTTCCCTTCATTTTGGTGGGAAAAGCTTTTCTAGGTGGCTGCTGTCATTTATTTATTTAATTTTTTTTCTGGTCACTGAAAACAAATTTCATGATTAGATATAAAAAAAAATTCAATTTAATAGACAATTTTCATGTAAAATAAAGCCAAACGAATACTAAATTTTGATTAAAAAAATGATTTTTTAAGAAAAAAATTCGTTTTTTTTTTTAATTTTTTGGTAATGGAAACAAATTTTATAACCAATTGTAGAAAAAATATCACTTTAATAGACAATTTTCATGTAAAACTAAGCTAAACAGACATAAAATTTAAAAATTGTTCACCTAAAAAATTATATCAATCAAATACACTTAATTAACAATTCCCTGTAAAACAATTTTCAGGCAATTACTTTCTCTGAAATTCATTTTCTTTCCACCATTTTTCCACCCTTACAATCAAACGGATCCTAAGTAAACTTGAATAAAATTCAACAATAACATTCTAATTAGAATTCTTCATAAGTACACTTTAATTATAACTCTCAATTATTTCCAATAAAAAAATCGGGTCACATCCAAATTCTAATAATATTTTTTACACTTATTATAATATATAGTTTAAACTTTGATATCTACATACAATTATTTTTCAATATATTTTTAATGGGTAATTAGCAAATAACGTCTCTAGCTTTTACTGTTATTGTGGAAAACATTCTTACCTTTTATTTTTTGACATTTTCGTCCTTATTTCCACATTTCATCGCACAAAAGGTCATTTTCATACATTTTCTCAATTAAAATTTGTAAAATGACAAATATACATTCTCTTTAAATAAAACAAAAGGAAAAAAGAAAAATTAATTGCAATCATAGTCCCATTTTTTTTAAAAAAAGTGCAAATGAGTCCCAAATAAATTATTAAAAGGGTAATTAGCACATAATGTCCACATCTTTCACACAATTATTGCAAAAAGCGTCCATGCCTTCTATTTTTTTTTTTTTTTTGCATTTTCACCTTAATTACACATTTGATGACACAAATCATCATTTCTATCCATTTTCATCCACTTTCTCATTAAAAAGACGTGAAATGATGAATATACCCTACTATCTAAATAAAAAAGATAAATAATTAAATGCAATCATATTCCCAAATTTTTAAAAAGTGCAAATGTGTCACCAATAAATTATTAAAAAATATTATTTTTTAAAAAAAGTACAAACGGATCCCAATTAAATTTATTTAAAAATAAAAAAGTGTAAACAAGTCCCAAATAAATTATTAAAGAATTAGAAATTAAAAAAATATTATTTTTATTTAAATATAGGAGTGTATATTTATTAATTCACAATTCTTTATTGAGAAATTGGATGAAAATGATGGTATGCGCAACCAAATGTGTAATTAAGGGTGAAAATGTCAAAAAAAGAAAGGTAAAGTTGTTTTTTGTAATAACAGTGAAATGTTATTCATATACTAATTACCATTTTAATAATTTATTTTAAACTTATTTGCCTTTTTAAAAAGAAT